GAAAGACAGTAACAAAAAGAAAGGAATGATAAACTATAAAAATATAGAATAAGAAGACGACATAAAAACAGGCAAAAAAACGGTAAGACAAGTAAAAGAATGAATTAGATTGAATTTGAGGGGACAGAAATCATTGTTAAACCTTAGCGGCTGTGAGAGAATAATAGTGAACTTGGGACGGTTTTTGCGTTGAAAGTCTGTCAGAAATGACAAAATTTGAAAATCAAGATTGATACATAGGTTGAAANAGGAATAGGATATCGACATTAAAGGAATACTGAAGTGCATTCGAACCTACAAAACAAATAGCTTTACTTACAGTAAGTTATCAAATCACTTTTTAAGTGAATTGGTTCTATTTGAAGTCATAACTTGAATCTAAAAGTCGACTTAATCTTACAGAGTTTTCTGGTTATCACTGTAGATACTAAAAAAATAGATAGATATACATAAAAAGATAAAACGAAAGATAGATACAAAAAGAAATTGAGAGGTAGTAGTTACAAAAATAAATTGAGAGTTAGTAGTTACAAAAAGAAATTGAGAGGTAGTAGTTACAAAAATAAATTGAGAGGTAGTAGTTACAAAAAGAAAAAGATAGATAAAAATAGATAGACACACACTCGTCTAAAATTTACATGATCCCTGCCGGTACAACACGTACTGTAAAATAAGCAGTCCGTCGTACTGTCAAGTCAGGCTACCCAGTGTAGAGTCTACCCAGCACGTTTTATGCAACAAATGTAGCCTGGCAAGATCACAGTTCACACAAAAACTAAAAAACTAAAAGGTTGATATAAAGATGGCCTCCGTGACCTTGATTATACTCCTCCTCATCATTACCCATCATAATGTTCATTAAATACAGGGTGTCCCAGAAAACTCAAGTAAAGTTTAAAATAAACTTTATGTCATTTTTAAAACCTTAACTTTTTTTGAGGATACACTTTGCTGACTTGGCTCTAGTAAACTTTTCTAAAATTTTAAAAACTTATTTTGATACACCCTGTATATATTTATCTGTATCATGACAAATTATTAGTTTAGTTCACACCATACACCACACCCCTATTGCTCTTCTTTACAACACATTTTTAGCAAACAAATTTTTAAAAAATTTTAAATTTTTATCAAGTTTGAAATTTGGATTTTATAAAAATTTAAGTAAATTTTGAAGACTAACAATTTAAAAGTTCACTTAAGATAAAAATTTAGCAAATTTTTTTATAAAAATGTTTAAAATGTTTTTCCTGTTTTTAATAATGTTTTATCCTAACAAAACAAAAACGTTTATTATTGATGTTGGTTCACACGGCTTTATAACTGTATAAAAGACTAATGGTTTAGTTACTTAAACCATTATTTTTGAGGTAATTTCAGTGAAGGGGGATCAATATAGTAAATATCACTGATAATGTAAAAATTATAAATATCGTTAACATTTGCTTTCGGTAGAAACCCTAATATAAAGGCTACAACAAGTCTGAATGGTTCCCTAAAATATTTTGGTAAATAAATATCAAAGTAATCTTTGTAATTGATCATAATGATATTCGATGGCATTAATCTGTAATCTTTAATCAAACAAATTGAGAGTAGAAAACTATAAATATGACAATATTTGTTATAATATGATAATAACCTTTATGGAAAGGTCTTTAAAGAAAACCGTTCAGATGATAAAAGAAATTATTTAGACTGAAAAACAAATGTACTTGTTATTTACTTAGGGACAAATCGGTTCAACCTTTATAATGTTTACTCGATCCAAACTATAATGTTTATAATGTTTACTCGATCCAAACTATAATGTTTATAATGTTTACTCGATCCAAACTAGTGTCTCAAGTTGTGGAAATATGCCCTGAAGCGAAACATAGCTTCTATTATCTTGCAAAAAATCATTACATCTACTATTTATTAGAATGCTTTCCATAATTACACTTGCCATAATTACACTTTCCATACTTACACTTACCATAATTACACCTGACATAATTACACTTGGCATAATAACACTTGGCATAATTACACTTGGCATACTTACACTTGGCATAATTACACTTAGCATAATTACACTTGGCATAATTAATTACACATGCAATAATTACACTTGGCATAATTACACTTGCCATAATTACACATGACATAATTACAGCTGGCATAATTACGCTTGCCATAATTACACTTGCAATAATTACACTTGGCATAATTACACTTGGCCTAATAACACTTGGCCTAATTACACTTGCCATAATTACGCATGGCATAATTACACTTGGCATAATTACACTTGGCATAATTACACTTGCCATAATTACACTTTCCATATTTACACTTGCTATAATTACAAATGCCATAATTACCCTTATCACAAGTACACTTACCATAAATTACACTTTCCATAATTACACTTGCCATAATTACACTTAATATAAATTACACTGGCCATAATTTTAAAATAAATGACACATGCCATAATTCATAAGCTACACTTGCCATGATGGATACTATCTATTACAGATTTTTCACATAAGTTTGGACCTTTTGAGTTGCTATAGCGCCGGCTACAAACTAGACTGAGCGCAGCTAGGACAGGCAGGCTAGGGGGCCTATTCAACAAAAAATAACATACAGGATTACTAGCTCTGTAAAACTTAAATATTTTGACAAAAGTTGCTTCCTCATGGTCAGTCAGGATTTTCTCTTCCAAAAACGGATTGAAAGGCCCATTTCTCGCGCAAAAATCGACGACACAATTACTTTTTAAAAGCTAAAGATTAAATCAAGTTTTTTATAGTTCTACATGACTAGGGCTACACAAAAGTATACCCCCGTTAGTAAGGTAAAATCAAAGAGGTTGCCACACTTCAAAGTCGAACCATTCTTAAAAATGCAACTTTGCATAACAGTAGAATGTATTGATAGAATGGAACTGGTAGTATAAAAAGAGTGCACTAGATTAAATTGAAATGAATTTGTGGACGGTAGGTGTGATTTTCATTTATTCTCCACGCAAAGATGGCAATGTCCAATTTACAACAGTACCCTTAAAACCTATGTCAAGACAAGATCATAAAGTTTAAAAATGCCAAAATTCACAATTAATCATGTAAAGAGTTTTTGCCACTCAGAAACATCTTTCATAAGCTCAGCTGAAAGTAGAAACATAAGGCCTTATCTGAATTTTAAAAATGGCGATTCCCTTCAAACAAAAATGATTAGATAAAACTTGGCTTTTAGAACTTTTTGAAAGGCATTTTAGAAAACATAACAATTACTCTTTTTCAAAAGAATTCAAAAAAGAAATGTGCTGGGGTTCTCTAACCCCTGCAGATTTATGATTGAAACAGGAGGGGGAGGTGGGGGTAGCTTCCCTCCCCCCCCCTGCCGTCCCAGAATCATGTGTGAGGTGTACATACAATTTTTACTATTTTTTACTTTTTGTACTATTTCAGACATTTTGATTAAAAGATGTCTTAAATATTCATAATTAGATTTTTACTCTTAATGTTTAGAAGAAAAAATATCATATTTATTTTGATGCTGAAGATTTAAAAACTCTTATGTAAAAAAATGATGAATTAATTAAATATCAATTTATTTCTCTCTACGATAGAATTTCTTTAGTCTCAAAAACTAAAAATTATTGTCAGAATAGTCAAAGCCAAGAAGTTCTTTAAAAGAACAAAATAGTTTTGTCTCCCACATAGATCCAAACTTCTATGAACAGATGCATTAATTTTCAAGACCCTGATGCCGAATTTAAAGAATTTAAGCTGCAGCTCAAATATGGCATGGTTCCACCTAAACTTGTATTCAATTTTTCAAGATTTAAGCCGCGCTCAATTAAAACCAGTTTTTGCGGTTTTGAGATCGTCTGAAATTTATTAAAATCGGACATTGGTCTATTAAATGTTATAAACACCCTTCCTCTTTGATTTTATCTCACTAACTGCCATTTACTATTATACAGCCCAAAACATGTACATTTTAGAATTTCAAATCACTTGTTATTTGCTCAAGTTTTGTTAAAAGATTTTATATTTGAATAAAAGTTAAAGCTTTCTTAAATGGAAAGCAGAAAAATCCTAAGCAGCATTTTCCTGCACACTTACTTTCATTATTTTTAACTTAGAGATTGAATCTTTAAGAAACTGAATGTTTTCTGTTACTTTTGTCTTTTCCTGGTCAAACTTTTGGTAAAAGAACTCTTTCACTTTTTCATTTTTGCTGAATTTGGCTAAGAATAGGGTAAAAACATGGTAAAAACTGGAATTACTGAGAGGAATCTCCTCCTAGCTAAAGTATCAAAGAAAGATGACTACAAAGAGAAGTATGAAGATGAAGATTGCTGTGAGAAGGATAGATTTCATGTTGATCTTGTTCTTTGCTTTATCAGAACCCTCAGACATTGCACTGAGCATAATGATAAATAGGATTTAATAATAATAAATAGGAATAGGAATAAGGATTAGAAATTATCTAGACTATGTTTCATCTATTTTCAACAAGTTACGTAGGTAAACTTATGTTTGAGATAGTGCTTAGTGTCAGAGATTAACCTAAAAATTCCCAGTGCAGACTTTTGAAATGATAGATTTAAATCTAATTCCCTGGATATACTGGAAATTAACCGAGATATAATAAAAAATATTAAAAAGGTATTGAGTGTCTCAAGTTGTGGAAATATGCCCTGAAGCAAAACATAGATTCAATTATCTTGCAAAAAAATCATTACATCTACTCTTTATTAAAATGCTGTTTTAAGGAAACCATTAGAAAATTATGGCATAGGATGGGTACGGAATTCGATTTTTCCACAAACAAAGATGAAAATTCTTGTGATGGATTTTTCTGGTCTGAAAAAAAAACTTCAAAATATTTTAAATAATATCATTGAAAAAAGCTTTACTCTTTTGATCACTCCTAACACCTGCCCTCGACTAAGATAAAAAGATTAAATTTTTTTTTATTATTAAAAAATTACAACAGCACACAATTAACCAAGATTTACTTTATAACTTTATAGGAATCAAGTTGTTTGTTGCAACATTGCAACATTTAACATACATATAATTTTACATACAATTTTACATACAATTTTTAAGGCTTTCTTGTAGGACACACCTTGTGGACTGTACAATAGGCAAGTTAGAATTATAAAAAATTGGAAATGGAAAATAAACAAAAAGTCTGCTTGCCTCTTACATTTGATTGACATTTATTCAAACATAATGAATGAAAGAAGAAAATAATTTAAGCAGTTATATTTTCTTGAACACTCACTTTGTTAATCTTTATCTTGAAAATTGAAACTTTGAGATTTTGAATGTTTTCTACTACTTGCGTCTTCTTCTGATCAAGCTTACGGAAAAAGAACTCTTTGATTTTTTCATTTTGGCTGAATTTGACTAAGAACAGTGTAAAAACAGTTACTGACATCAGCATGCTCAGAGGTACTCCTTCCAGGCTGTGGTAATTGATCAGGATGGTGATGAAAGGAAGAAGGAAGATGATGATGGCTGTGAGTAGGACGGATTTCATGTTAATCATGTTTTTTGCTTTATCCACACCCTCAGACAAGGCACTGAGAAGAACAACCAATAGAAATTTAGTTTTCATATTTTTTTTAATACTAAAAAGTATCTTACTATTTAAATATTGATGTAAAATCCATCTCTTTTAAACCTCATTGAAGAATTTACAAAATTGGATATTGATTTTAAAAAGTGATATCAACTATTATCAGAGCATGATCTCTGAGATATTCAAAGTTTATTTCCAGTACAGTATATACATTCTGTGCTATATTTTAAATGTCCCTTTTCTAATTGGTTCCTTAGGCTGTGACTGTGGTGTTTCTTCAGGTAGTGCATGCCATAGAAGTAAGGTGCAACAGTGCCAATAATGCAGACGGGAAAGGTAAATGCTGCCACATAGTAATGTGGAGACAGATGAGGCGTTTCTTTCAGAAGCCCTCCAGAGTAGAATGCAACTGATAGTGATATTTCTCCTAATATAAAAAATAATCATCCTCTGAAATCATTCTCTACTCCCATGACTATTTGATTTGTCCCCTAGTACAATATTAGATTTTTTCTTATTTAATTTGGTAGAAATTTTTTTGAAAAATTCTTCTTAAATTTTTTGTTAAAGGTACTGTACAGAAAAAATGAAAGGGGATGTAGGATGAAACCTGAGAATCTCAGGTGTTAAACGATACATATAAAACATCTATCTGATGTTTCTGTCTCAAGAAATTGATATAAATCTGTGTACTGCCATTTGCTGAAGTTCTGGTGACGTAATACGGACTATACGGACTATTTGTAATTATATTATCAATTATATCTATTAAAAATGCAAAATAAAAAAATATAATAGGAGCAAACCTGAGATTCTCAGGCATCCGTGGGATAACGTTGTTTCCAGATTGATTGCGTATTTGTTGAATATGATCTGTTTAATACTACAACTTTTATACAAAATTGTATATATATATGAATTTTTGTATGAATGTGTCTCAGTTTTATATAAATTTCTCGGGATAGGAACATCAGATAGATGTTGTGTATGTATCGTTTAACACCAAAGATTCTCAGGTTTCATCATATACGCCTTTTCATTTTTCCTTTACAGTCTCTAATAATTCCAAAATTCTTCACAAAAGTTTTTTGTATGCTCATGCAGAGTCTTATGTATCATTTTCAAAAACAAATAACGTACCTGTATGAATAATATAGAGTTGGGTTGGTAGCACCAGAACACCGAAAACCAGGAGAAGAACAGTAAGGATTCTTCTAGCCAACTGTTCAGGCTCAAACTCAACCATCTTGTCAAACTAAAAACTTCATATAAAGCCAAACAGTTGGGTGAACGGTTTGGGGATGTTTAATCCCCAAAACTTATTAACAAGATATATAAAAAATATAGAAATAATATTTCTTAACAATATTGAAATGTAAAGAGGCCATCATGATTCAAAACTGTTTAAGTTTTATAGTTTTATAGAACTAATTTTTTACAGCATTTATCTTTGAATGTACTTTTGACTTAAACTAATTTGAGCCAGACTTAAATCTTTTTTTAGTCCTTTTTTTAATTTGAACCCTACCTCTCATTGAAGTATTTACCTTTACAATCATGAGAAGTCTGCTCACTGATATTACTGCAGAGAGTCCGAAGGACATGTGTGCCGAGTAGACTCCAAAAATGTCTGCTATGGTAGATATCCAGTAGGGCAGCCTGATGATTGAACTTACCATGATAGGGACAGCCTTAATGAAAAATATTTGTTACTTAAGTTACAAATAAAATGTATCGATTTGGGCCTAGAATGTTACCAAAAAATAATTGTTTTCTTTTTCATTATAATTTTTTTCTTTTCTGAATAACACTAACAATGAAAGCATGGTTCTCAAGAAGTTTAAAAATTATTATCATGATACAAGATTTTTGATCAGAAAGATTGCACACTGTGTTAAAAGTAAATTTATCATGCACCCTGAAATGTTTTAAAACAGACCTCAAAACGAGACCCATTCCTAGTTAAAGTATTTTAAAAACTTACACATGACTGAATGACGGCATTGATGGCTTCCACAAGATAGCAGTTGAGAATGAGAATGAGGTTGATTCTGAGATATGGTAGAGATCTCCTATCAATTGCGACCAATTTGAAATTTTTATAGGGCTCAATAAGGGGCTTAACAACCTATCAGGATATTTAAAGAAATACTGATAAATAGGGATTATAAATCACAGGTGTAATTTTTTATTACAAATTTTTATCTTCCTGAAGCTTCGCATTGTGCCAGTGATTAGGTTTGAGATGATACAAATTATAAGAACGTAGAAGATAACCAAAAAGTTGAAATCAAAATAACGCAAACCCTCAGTCTGAGGGATAGTTACATTGTCTTCAGAGTTGGTTGTAAAACTTGCATTTACCAAAGGGGGCATTGCAGTGTCAAGTTATTCTTAAGTTTGTGGTAAAACCTAAGATATTTGTCTTAACTCCCGAATTTACCTAGATATCTAAATTAAAGTTTCTAAAGTCTAAAGTCCACTGTGTTAAAGTTTCTATAATCTAAATTCTAGTATCTACTGTTAAAGTTTCTTTATGTCTGAACCTCAGTATGTCTGAATTGTAAATGAAGGATGTTGAGAACAAAAGAGAAAAAGTAAACAAGACCCTACTTACTCTCTCCTCTTCCAAAAAAGGAGAGACATCAGACTTCCAATTAATTGGATTAATCAATGAATGATGAATCTTTTTGATCTTTGAATAATGAGTTAAATTGATCAATAAAAGATAAATTTCATTGATCAATAAATAATGTATATTATTTATCAATGCATACTGAACACAATTGATCAATGAATAGTGAATAGGATTGATTAGTAAATAAAAAAGAATTGATTAATTAATAATGAATAGAATTGATCAATAAATAATGTAAAGTATTGATCAATGAGTAATGAGTTAGATCAATAAATGAATGATTAATTGGATAAATCAATAAATGATGAATTGGATTGACCATTAAATGATAAGTAAGATTAGGTTTGCAACAAGGGATTCAATGATAAACCTGAGATTAAATTTTCAAAGATTCTGTTTTTTCCAAGAGTAAATGATATTCCTCAGAAAGAGTTAGTCTAACATGAACCTTTTTTAAATTAGCGGTATTCAATGAAAGCAGTTGCATACCTAAAACAAGCTTTTTATAAATGAATAAGTAATGAATAGGATTGAACAATAAATGATAAAGAAAGGGCTCGATAAATCAATAAATAATAAACAGAGTTGATCAATTAATTCTGAATTGGATTGATTAATAAATGATAAATTGGACTGTTCAATGAATTATGAATTGGACTATTCAATGAATTATGAATTTGATTGATCAATAAATGATGAATTTATTTCCTTGATGACTGATTAATGAATCACATGAATGATGAATTATATTGATTAATGAATGATGAATTGGTAAAATCAATAAATGATGATTTAGATCGAGTAATAAATGATGAATATGATTACTCAAAGAATGATGAATTGGATGAATCAATGAATGATGAATTGGATTTCTCAATGAGTCATGAAATAGAATGATTAATTAATGATGTATTGGACTTATCAATGATTAATGAATATGATTTATCAATGAGTGATGAATTGAATTGATCAAGGAAAGACGAATTTATTGATCAATAAATGATGAACATGATTTATTAATGAATGATAAATATGATTGCTCAAAGAATGATGAATTGGATTGATCAATGATTGATGAATTGGATTTCTCAATGAATCATGAAATAGATTGATTAATTAATGATGTATTGGAATTATCAGTGAATAATGAATTGGATTTATCAATGAATAATGAATTGAATTAATGTATAAAGTTTTCCATCCCATTAAACCTGTAAAAGAATAATCAATAATCATCTTTCTACTATTCTAAATATAAAAAATAACAAAAATACCTCTCTCCCCTTTAATAATATTATAAGTGGATTCACCTTTGCACAACTACAAGGGAAATCTAAAAATAATGAACATTTACAGATAACTCCACAGACCTCTCCTAGAGAATAAATTAACAAATAATGAATAATTCATGAAGAATTACTGAATGATGAACCAATGATCACTAATGAATGATGAATTAAATAATGAATTAAGGAATGACGATTTAATAAATGACGAATCAATAAATTATGAATTACTACACAATGAATGAATGAGAAAAAAAAATTAGTTTATTTTTGATAATCATGTGTACACAGAAGAACGAGACATAAAGACTGTACAGTTCCCGGCAGAACTAACTTGAAGCTTCTGAAGAAATCCTCTAATTCGAACAGTCAGAGTTCTTCCAGCTTCTAGTGGCGGTTGTTGTTCACACTTAAAAGCTTAACAAATCACATTACATGATTTACGTTAAATCTGGGTCTCATTGGATCCAACTTGATAATGAGGAGGTGAAGAAAGTTAGTCAGAAAACAGTTGTCGAGGCTTGAGGGAACTCTGGTGGTGATCGGGAGCAGCCCCTTGCAACTAGGGATGTTAAAGTTTTCATTTTTCAGAAAAACTATCGTTTTGTTATGAAAACGACAACGAAAAATCGAAAACGAAGCGATCGTTTTTGAAAACGATCGTTTTTTTCAAAAGTTCGTTTTTTTAAATGGTCGTTTTTAAAACAATCGTTAACAACAAACCTTTGTTAACGATCGTTAACGAAGAGAGGAAACCGACCTAAAGGGCATCTGTACTTATCATTGAGTAGTTTTAAAGAAAATATCAAGGAGTTTTAACTTTGAAACTCCATGTAAGACGACATTCAATAGAGTTGCTTGTAATTTTTTCAATAAAATTTTTTTTCAAAAACGATTGGTTTTTTTAAAACAATCGTATAAAAAAACGGTCTCAAATCGTTTTAATAAAAACCATCGTTTTCAAAAACAATCGCTATTCGTTTTCTGAAAGTTCAAAACGAGTGGGTCGTTTTTAAAAACGATCGTTTTTTCCGAAAACGAAAGGATCGTTTTTGAAAACGAAACAAAAAAAGATCGTTTAACGATCGTTTTCAAAAACGATTAACAACCCTACTTGCAACCATGCTTGTTTATTCTGCTCTTGATAAATCACCTGATATACTTATTCCTACTCATTTACAGGACAGGTATCACAACGTGTTCAAGCAGTCTAAGAGGGATCCATCAGCAAGGATGTAATGCAAGGAAAGTTATTTCAGAAGTGTACGCATCTTTTGTACTGCAGTGTACTGTCTCTGGGCGGTAATGTAAACACAAGACGGATGTTACAGCCTGACATGAGATCCATCTTTCACATAAAAAAATCAATGAAATATTCTGGTCATAGGAAACTATTTGAATTATCAAAATTATCAAATTCAATGCTTTTAACCTCCTCGGATACTATACGAACACTGATGCATCTATTCTTGTTCACAAATTCCGCCCAGAGAGAACTGGTTTCAATATGTACGCAGAGTATACACGACCGCAATTAACTTTCCTTGCATTACACCCTTGACCATCAGTATTGATACAGGAGTGTTCTGCACTAATGCTCATAAAATGATTGAAGCGAAAGAGATGGAGGTTTCTCAATTTGACATTGACCAGGCTGACATGGGTTAAGAAGTCCGGGAGTATCTAGTACTTATGTTTGCTTTCAACCTCTAACTCCTACCACCTTCTCATCTCTATCTATGATTTTTTTTCGAAGCATTCATATATGGCTGATGTTTCATATTATTCTTTATTTTTCATGATCTGAGAGTTACTTTTGAAAACATTTATTCCTGTTTCGAGGATTTTAGATAATGAAGTCGACATTTTCATACTTTCCAGGAATGATTGAAAATCCAGCGCCAGCCGTCAAAATAAGTTGTAGGTCATATATCAATTTTTAAAAAATCAAATTAAAAATATTATGAAATATCAACTATATATGTTTGCGTCGAAAAAAAGTCGATGATTTTAGCCTGTAATACTTGAATGATTTATTTAGAATTTAATTGATTTTTTTACGATCCAAGTTGAATATTGCAACCTTCTGAATTTGTATGGACGCTACGTTCTTCGGTATGAGTCATTTTAATTTCATTTTCTCCTAATAGACGCAACAGATAGAAGTAAGATTAGTAGCAATAACCATCAAATATTTTTCGACATAAGCCTTTACCCCCTTTCAGTTTTTACAAAAACACTCCCTTTAACATCGTTATTTCCCTTTGCTTATGGAAATAAATGTTTCTTCATTAGAACACTATATTTTTGATTAATTTTGGTTTAGACTAGTTTTTATAATAAAATGTACTTTTACAAGAATATATCTCAAATTAAACATTGCAGTAGGCATTAGCGAATCGTCGCCTACAAGTGACATCTTATTCAATGTGTGAAGTTGAATCATTAGAAAAGAAATAATATATCCCAATTGTTGATCTGAGGTTATTGATGTAAGATCCAGCAGAAAAATATCTGCCATTAGTTTCAAAGTGAATAAATACTAAAGTGGAACAGACTAAGGAAACGACGACAGGTTGGGCCATAAGGTTTTATTTGGTTTGGAAATAATTTCATGAAAAGATTTCGTTTGGAAAGTAAAGACTAGAAAAATAGACTAAAAGACCCTTGTAAATGTCGTCTTCAGATAGAACTTCGAAATTTTCACGATTTAAAATCAAAATTTTTTGTACGTTTCTATGTAGTTTATATGTAAATACTATTTAGTCGCTTAATCAATTCATTGATTTTGCCTGGNGCTCATTTGAACTATTTTTTTGTCCATTTGAACTATTCTTTTTTTCATTTGAATTGAACTATTTTTATGTTCATTTGAACTATTTTTGGTTTATTTCATTAATAATATTTTAATAGTTCAAATGAAAATAGTTCTAATGAACTAAAAAATAGTTCAAATGAGTAATATATTTACTCGTTTGAACTATTGTTCATTTCAACTACTCACGTGGTCCCACGTGCAGTAGTTGAAATGAACAATAGTTCAAATGAGCCATAGTTCAAACGGCCGTAGTTCAAATGAAATAGCACCGTTTGGTCCACTTTAGTATTTATTCACTTTGCATTAGTTTAGCCGTATTTAATTGGAACAGGGAAAACAAACATGATAGATATCCTGACTTATCGTGTTTTTTCTTTGTAATGTTCATGTTAATCAACAAAACGCAACCCCCCCCCCCTTAAAATTATGACTTTCTTTGAATTCCCTTTTCTGTGTACATAATATGACTGAGAAATGATTAGTGAATTATGAATTAAATAGATCAATGAATGGATCCTAGGATGGATTAATAAATAGATCAAAGGATGGATCCTAGGATGGATTAATGAATGAATCAATGAATGATGAATTAATGAAGGATGAACCTGAAAACGTTAGTTGAACTACCTGAATTGCTTTGTCTAGATTATGGGAAGGTTTTATTATTGATTCGTTTCAGTTCCACTCTACTCTACTCTATATAGTATTCAAACCATAGTCCGGAGTAAGACCGGGAGCTAGTTTCAAGATACACGACACACCCTCATATAAAGAGTTATACTTCTAGTCTTATGTAACTGCTTTCATTTTTGAACAGGGGTTCTCACAAAGTATGAGTTTACAAGACGACATTAAACTTTTAAATATGACAAATTCAGAGTTTAATTAATAGAAATATTTTTGAATTACTTTACAGATCAAGTCTAATTCGCTTGTAAATTGA